ACAATTCTGACAGTAAGCAGCTTTGATATAATTTGACACTAGATATCAAGTTTATGGGATTTTATTTAAAGGTTCCAATGAGGCCGCCTGCACGGCCACAGATGTGCTAGAAGCTAGAAGAGCTAGAAGCTCTACTCACGGAGAAACTTGCTAAGCCTAGGAGGAGACAGGTATTCCAGCCAAAGCTGCCATGACATAACCTCACATACAGCTCAGCCACAAAGTGAACTAAGTTGTTTAGTTAAAGACAGCATGGGACCAAATGCACCGAACCAGCCTGACATTTCTTCCTCTTAAGTTCAATGAATGGATGGAAGTTAAATGACTACAAACATAAAATCATAAAAGCCGCTAGTACCGACACTGGAGTTCCCTGAAACTGACTGTTCATTGTACTGAGCCTATATATAACGCACAGAGCTACCTGAGACACTGCACTGAATTATTGTTTCTATCTTAATGACTCCACCTGGCTGGTTTGAGTTCAGATATTCTGCTTTTTCCTTTCGGTAGATCAAAGCATCTCGTGTTGCTTTTGCTTCCATTTTGATGGAAGAAGAAGAAGAATGCTTCAAAGAAGTGGCATTCATGGTCTCAGTGAACAGTGTGCCAATCGTGGTAACACATTGCACGTGATTTTCAAAGCAGCATGCCTGTTCACTGCAACAGTCAATACATTGATAAAAAACTTTGAAATATATATTGCTGTTTAGAGATGTGTAATGTTAGTGCATGCTAAGGTTTGTTATTGGAAATTGTTCAGTTCTGTTCTCTATTTTGATGACCACCTACACCACACGATGCTGTTTGAAAAAAAATGTTGTTTTCAAACTATTCCTTAAACTATGGACATTAGCTCTAGCTCTATGGACATAAGGCTGCAGGTCTCTTAAGTAAGCAGCACCTGATTCAATTATCAGAAGGTTCAATAAGTCTGGCAGTTATTTTTTTGTGAGTCAGGCTTTTCCTTTTATTACCATATGCACCTGTATAATGAGATCTGGCACTTCACCAAACTGAATACGGAATATGAATTCAATATACCTTTGGGTGCCTTGAAAAGCGCTATATAAATCCAATCCATTATTATCGGTAAGTTGACATTTAAAATGAAATTGCAACTTCTTTTGGAAAGAAATTTCCTCATAGAAATAGATGAAATAAGACAATATGTTTTTATTAATGGAAAATTGTTAAATATTTATCACAATGTTTTTATGTTTTCTGTCGATCTTTGTCCCTCCCCCCAAAGACCAGCGTTTGTTCCGAATGGTAAAGTACAACTTTTATTTTGAAAATACCAGATAGGAAACATTAGGGCCATGACCTGGACCCACTTTGCTAAATCCGACCTTTCTTCAGCCAGTGAAAATAGCATTTGTGTTAAGTCTCTAACTTTGTTCTTCATTTGGGCGAGTCATTCAAACAAAACCGGAACAGTTTCCGGTTTATTTTTCATGTTTGACGTTTCTAGGAGTTTATAACCAAGGGCATTAGCATTAGCAGCACCCTGTGGTACAATGTCAACAGGGATAGAGCCGCCAACAGGAGGAGCAGATGCCCCCGTGTCCAAACCCAGCCAGATGTTTAAGAGCTGCTGGAGCTGCAGGCTTATCTCCGGAGGTGGGCTGATTCTGTCCGGAGCTTATGTGTTTCACGCAGCGCGGAAGGTGATGCGGCAGGGAGGACCCACCTCTATGGGGACAGTGGCACAGATCACTTTCGCTGCAAGTAAGTCAATCAGTTTTCTGACTGTTTGCTGCATTAGGAGTCTTTTAATGAAGAAATGCGCATTTGTGTTCAAGGTTTGGCTGCCTGGGGGATAGTTGTCATCACGGATCCTGTAGGAAAAGCGCAGAGGAAGACTTGAGGACTCTTTAGAAAGCGTGCGTGTAAATGAGCTCAGGACCGCGTGGGGTCATTCACCGGACACCGAGGCAAAGACACTGCTCTGGACAGCCTGCAGAGGCCTGTAATGACAGTGGATGTGTGCTGACGTTGTATGGCTGGACTATGTACTCTACTGCTGGAAGCTGCTGACTTCTTAAATTAAAACAACTAGTTGTCTATATGTGTGAGTTTAAGTCTCTTTGTCAGCATCAGACGTGTGTGGTAAACAGTGTTGTTCAAGTTACTAGAAAAAAGTAATCAGTAACTAATTACTGATTACTTCCCCCCAAAAGTAATCCCGTTACTTTACTGATTACTTATTTTCAAAAGTAATTCATTACTTTTTTTATTTAAAAAAAATAAAAAACTGATAAAAAACTGTTTTATCAGTTTTAATCTTTTAACTTTATGCATCAAGTAAAAATTAAATTATATGCACCATTCTGTCTCTAATTACCGTTTTTGCGATAGTAATCCCTTGTTACTTAAAAAAAGTAATCAGATTACAGTCTGCCCATCTCTGGTGGTAAATAATGTTGACTCGTTTTATTACCTGCATTAAAGACTATTTATTGTAGTACAAAAATGTGAAACCAATGGTGATGCACACTACTCGTATGTATACCCAGCTCTCATCATTATGTTGTCACTGACTGACCTTTTTCACACTTTAAAATGTCAAAACAGAAAAAGCACAGTTAAACTGACAGTGGGTGCATGAAACCGTGCCATTTTGCATCTTGGTTCACTAGTATATCACTGGAACACTACCTGGAGATTACAGTTCAAAACCTCTGCAGGTAGTACACAGTTTGTGACTAAATAGTTACTATAAAAACAGTGAATTAGGTCAAACTGCCTTGATGTCTCAGGACAACCTCCCAAGTATTAAAAACAGTTTAAGTCTTGAGTCGACATGGTGATTATCAAAAAGATTACTGAATTAACTGTGTTTAATAAAGCACATGACCCTGATTTAACTTTAACTTCTGTAGCTTTCTTGTCAGTTGCTGCTCCTGTGTTTGTTTTTCCATACTTTGCATTTGTGTTTTTTGCTGCATGTGGCAGCCATCTGTGTTACTGATAAAGAAACAGTGCCCAAAAGTGTCAGGACTGCACTTATCACACTATAGCAGCTCACACAGAAGCTCTTCACACCTGTTGCAGGACTTTCCAATTTCCAGAGCACCAATAAGTCCGCCTCATGTGACTGATCTGCCAGAAGCTGTTAGGAAACCCTTCAGCAGTGTGAAAAAAAAATAGCAGTTACATACCGTTTCCAATTGAATGGAGTCTTTACAAAAAAAGAAATGCTGCAAGCAAATACTTACACACCATGCACACTGTGGTTCAGTTAGTCTGAGTTACCTTTTTATTAGTGTTGTACTGTTCTGAGCACAATGCTCACAAGGAAAATTTTGATAAGCATGATGCCAAAATAAACCAAAACACCCTAAAGTCATTTTTCAGTTGCTTAAAATGATCATGACATCCTGATGTTTTCTTCTTTTTTTTTTTTTTTTAGGTTAAAGAAAAATATGAAAATAGAGTTGACAGTACATTTAGGCACACTATTAACACATACTGTACACAGATATGCACAATTTTCATTATCATATTCATATATACTGGGGTTAAAAAAAACATGAGCCTTCCTGTATGGAGAGGTGTGCAGAAAGTTAAAGGTGATACCGCCTTCGCCATCATAAGGGACACATTATTCACCTCCCAGTAAGCGAGGCTCCAGTCCAGTCCAAGCCATGTTGTCCTGCTCGGCCAATCAGAGTCCATCGGGGCAGCTCGGTGCAAGAAAATCACAGCAGACGAGGAAGTTTCCGTCCAATGACTGCAGCAGAATGGGGCGCCGTTTAGTCAATGGGGGAGTGGGACTCCCACACTTGCTACAGTAAGTGCTTATTAGTAGTGATTCTAGTGGTCACAAGACACAGCTCTTCTGTGAACCTGTCTCACCCAATTTTTGGGTGTCGAAGGGGGGTGAGTGGGGG